AAAAAAAAAAAAAGGCTGAAAATTCACTGTGCTATTTTGCTTTAGAGTTACTCTTTAGAGTATAAATCTGATTTGATATTTTTGCACTCCAGTTTAAATCTGTAATTTTTCTTTGTTTTTTGAGATAGAGTTTTGCTCTATAGCTCAGGATGACTTTGAACTCACTATGTAGTTAAGGCCAGCCTCAAACTCACAGTGATCCTCCTACCTCACCTCCAGAGTACTGGGATTATGAGCATATGCCACCATACCCAGCTAGTTTTAGTTTTTGTTTTTTGTTTTTAGGAAAAATAGCAAATTATACATTATTTCATCTCCTCACTTTAAACTATGGCTTCATCATTAATAAAAGTGGATGCAAAAAATGGCTAAACTTTACAAAATATAGCAACACAACTTTACAATGTATAGGGTATCCTAAAGGTTATAACAATTTTATTAAGGTAAAGAATACCAGCTGGGCATAGGGGCGTATGCCTGTAATCCCAACACTTGGGAGGCCGAGTTCCTGAGTTGAGGGTCACTGCAAGTTTGAGGCCACCCTGGGCTACATAAGCAAGTTCAAGGCCAGCCTAACCTGCACAGTGAGACCCCCATCTCAAAAAATAAGACAAAACAGAAAACTAAACAGCAGTCAAAAGGGCTTCAGAATATCCATTTCTGAAAGGCTCCCTTATGATCATTTTATTTATTTATTTATTTATTTATTTGTAATTTTAGGACAGGTTCTACAGGGTGTACAGAGTCTCACTGAGTAGGTCAAACTTATAGTGATCCTTCTGTTTACAGCCTCCCAAGTGCTGGGATCATAGGCATGCGCCACCATGCCCAGTCTCAATTGCTGCCTTGGGTGCAGGACTGGCACGATAGGCCTGGGATCGGCAGGCCCAAGGATCAAATCCCTAGCCCCTGCATCAGCCTAAGCAGATGTTTTAATCCACTGATCTATTTGGCTAGCCCTTATCATTTTACTTGATAGCGGTTAACAGCCAAAGAAATGCTGCCCTCTGTTACAAAGTTCACAAAATAAAATTGTGAAAATGTAACAAAGGGCACAATATTGAACAGCATGGAAGAGACTGAAAAAGAAAACAACACAAAATACTGGTCTTAATCTACCAAGTAGAAATTGCTACAAAAGTTAAATCTGTCAAGCAGTCTGGCAAAAACTAGTTTTAACATGGATTTTTATGGTCAAAGATAATTTATTTAATATTTCACAAATTATGAGCCCTGTCTACCACAAAAATAGTGTTTTATAAAGGCTTGAAGATCTTTAAAATCCAGGATTTGTTCATAACTGTGTTCCTTAAAACAATGCTTCCGATAAACTTAAAAGAGCTACTTAACAAGGGATATCCCTCCTCAGTGATTAGCAGGAAACCTAAAAGTATCCTTATCTTATTCTGCTTTTGAAAAATCTATGCATTCATAGACATATGTTTGTTCCTGTGTGCTTGAAGGAAATACCTTAATTTGTGACATAAAACTTGTAAAAGAATCTTGTTGAGAAATCTTGTTAACTATTTCTCTTAATAAAGTGTTCCACAGCAGAAATGTTTTCAAGACAGTCCCAGTATTTCTCCAACTCTTGAGTAATATTTTTAAAGATTTCTATTCCCATACTTCCTTTCCTCCTATAGTCAACCACATAATGTCAGAGAACATGGGGTGGCAGGGGGGGGATGACCCTAAAATACCTTATCACCACTGTTAGAGCCTAAGCCTACGGTGTTGCTCAAAGTCGCATGTGTTCGGAGATGGGGATTAATCCACTGATAGAAAGAAAGGATGTAGCACATAGTTGAAGGCAGTGGGTCATGAAGGTGTGATTGAGACTGGAACTTATCCCTGGCATCTTACTCTTTGGCTTTTTCTGTCATTCTGTACTTTATGCCTTCAGAAGGGAAGTAGCACTGCTATGCCACAACCTTCCACCATTTTTCTGCCTAGAAGCCAGCCAAACATGGACAAAAACCTCTGAAACTGCAAGCCAAAATGTTTCCTCCAGTAGCTGTATTTGTCAGGTATTTGGTCACAAAGGCTGACTAACAGAAATACAATGTAATATATCTTAAGGAAAAAACACTCATCTGAAGATATACTTAAATAAAGCTCTAAAAAAATTTAATAATTTATATTTCTACAAATTCCTAAAAGAAAGCAACTATTTGTCTAATATAAATAAATGAGTGCTGTTTTGAATATTTTTAATGTCTGCTATGAATTCTTTTCCTAACCTTTTTCATTTCTTCCACATATGCAATCATGGCTTCTTCTTTAGTCATATCACCCAATGAACTCCAAGCATCCCTGGAAATGAAAATATATACATAATGACAAAAAGATATCTGATTTTCAATTGTGCAGAGTATAATAAATAGCTGGTACAATATGATTATCAATTTAAAAGAAATTCAAAAAAGAGCTATGTTATAGGTACTAAGAATCGCTAATAAATGTATCACCTTGAAGAAAACTTAGCACTCAGTGACTTTTAAAATGTTTCATCAACTATCATTCTTTGTTGAAGAAGTAGTCTAAATGGGCTTTTGTCTGACATTTGAAGTCTGCAATAGCATTCATTTAAGAATTAAAAAAAAGAACATAAAATGTTAGTCAATTGGGAAAATAGTAGAAACATCTTGGTAGTTTATGATTCTTTTAAGTACATTAAAAATCAAATGCCTATTCAAGTATAGTACATCAGAAATGACAGCACAGATGAAAAGTTAATGTGGCAGTTCTTGAGTCATACTCCTAGTTACACATTATCTTAAAGCCAAAGAAACAATGTCACTTGACAAGCAAAAGTCCTATTTTCCTTGGCAGCTAAAAGAGGTAGGGGAGTCTGTTTGCTCTTTTCCTTAGTTTGGGAGTTTCCCTGGGCATTAAAGAAAAAGAGAGAGAAGCCAAAAATGGTGCTGCATGCCTATAATCCCAGCACTTGAGAGGCTGAGGCAAGAGGATTGCCGTGAGCTCACAGCCAACCAGGGCTACACTGTGAATTCAGGGCCAGCCTGAACTACATAGTGAGACCCTGTCTCAGAAAAAAAGAAGACAGACTCATAAAGAAAAGTGTTGGGGCTGGGGAGTTAGCTCAGCAGCATAAGTGCCTGTCCAGCAAGCACAAGGTCCCAAGTTTAACTTCTAGTACCATTAAAAAAAAAAAAGAAAGAAAGGTATGTTTTGGGCTGGGGATATAGCTCAGCAGCATAAGTGTGTGTCTGGCAAGTGCAAGGTCCTGAGTTTGACTGCAGGTAGGAAAAGTGATTTTTTTTATTTTATTTTATTTTTTTTTTTTTGCAATTTTTCTGAAAAATTTTATCTTTTTTTTTTTTTCAACAAATAATACACTGCATATGTTCTTCTTAGTGGTTAATTGCTGTACAAGATGCGGGGGAAAAGTGATTTATCTTTATGTACTATACTTCTTGGTTTTATTGTTTTCCTGTCTTCTTCAAGATTTTCCTATTTATATAAAACTGTATGAAGGCCACCTGTTGTAGATAAAGTCCAGGGATATAGCTCAGCGGCATAAGCACCTGCCTGGCAAGCACAAGGTCCCAAGTTTGATCCCTGGTACTGCAAAAAGGAGAAAGAGAAAAAAAAGAATTGAGGCTAAAAACTGTATCCAGGGCCAGGAAGACAGCTCAGCAGCATAAGTGCCTGCCTGGCATGCTCAAGGTTCCAAGCTCAATTTTACTGGTACCACAAAAAAAAAAAAAAATAAATAAATAAAAACTGTATCCAGTACCCAGGACACTTTATGCACAGAATAATATACAACCACATAAGTAACAGTTGTATGATAATTATGTCATTAAAATTCTTTCTTAGCTCTATAAATAAAATTACCATTTATATCTTCCAATAGGATCCCAGAATCCAGGTCTTGAAAGTTTGCAGGGTCCTTCAGTTGCCTGTTTATAGAAACTATAGAACTTGAGCATCATTTCATGTGTTGGCTGGAATGAACCTATTGGAAAAATCCATTAAGTTCAGAACACTGAGGGAATATACCAATAATTCAAAGTTATGTATTAGCTTAACCATAAAATACTAGTAGTGAACTTATATTTTATTAATGGTTCAAATAATTTATTTCTACATCAGAAACAAAAGTTATGGTAGTTATATTTATTGCTTTGTTCCTCTACTTTCAAACAACTACAAAAATTTAGTTGTTTTATAACAATGCCCAAAATAGTTAAACAAACATGCTACATAGGTGTAGCAAAAATAACCATCCAATATAAAAACAAATATGTGAAAACACAGAATATTATTATCCAAAGTAAAGCTGTGACAATCAAAACTGTTTAGCATAATTCTGGTTAATAAAATTACTTCAGTAAAAATCCAACTCCTCCTGGGAAAATTTCAATTTCCCATTGGATATAAGGAACTTTTTCTAAAGCCTACTAGTATATACTTTGGTAGAAAAATAATTAGTTTAACATAAAGTAATTTCTCAATTTCTACCTCTGTATTTTTTTTAAGAGTATGAAAACTTATTGGAAAATAGGAATAGGGAATAAAGAATGGGGAACAGAAATAGTTCCTGAGACACAGGAGTCCCACATGGGTTGTCCTTCCTCTATAAGTCTAAACTCATCAATTTATCTGAAGATAAATCTTCATGTATTTTCTAGTATGTGTATAATCTTTTCTATGTTTAAAATAGTCAAATTGCATTAGCAAGCACTCTAAGTTGCAATATTTTCAATAGAAGTGACAACCTGAAACACTGTTTTATAATGAATGATTAAATAACTACAATATACACATATAACAAATTAACTTGCAAGTACGGCTCTATATTATATTATAGAAATATATGAATACTGAAATGAGAAATCCCATAATTTGCTATGAGAAAAAATGCAACTGAAAAAGAACACATACAGGTGGCACACAACTGTAATCCTAGCTTTCAGGGAGCTTGAGGCAGGAAGGTCTCAAGTTGAGCCCTGCTTAGACAACCTATGTCAAAAAAATAATTTTTTTTTTCCAGAACCGGGGATTGAACTCAGGCCCTTGAGCTTGCCAGGCAAGCACTTATTCTACTGAGCCATCTCCCCGGCCCCTTAAAATAAAATATTTTGAGCTGGCAATATAACTGAGTACAAAACCCCTATGTTCAATCCTCAGCACACACACACACAAAACACTAGCCAGGTGTAGTAACACATGCCTAGAGTCCCAGCACTTGGAAGGCTGAGGCAGGAGGTCTGCCATAAATTCTACGTTGGCCTAGGCTACAGAAGTTGAGTTCAAGGCTACCCAACATCACAGAGTGAGACACTGTCTCAAAAAAAAGACCAAAGTAGCATATATTATATGCTTTTTTTTTTTTTTTTTTTTTGTTTAGGGATTGAACTCAGGCCTTTGCGCTTGCCAGGGAAACGCCTACTCTGCTGAGCCCTCTCCCTGGCCCCTATATGCTCTATTTTTATAAA